CACAGAGAATGTTTCTCAGAATTGAAGACTATTATTTCCTGACTGAAAAAGGCCACCAAGTGCCCAGCACAATGAACAAAACAGATTTACAGTACACATTATTGCAAAAGTTCAGAACACAAGGATAAAGAGGAAAAGAGAATCCCAAATGCTCCAGAAAACAACAAACAACGTTTACGCAGGAAGTAACAGAAGTCAGAATCAATCAGATTCTGCAAGAGTCCAGCCTATGAGAAGCTAGATGAAGCCTTTAACATTCTTTTTCTTTTTTCTTTTTTTTTTTTTTTTTACAAGTAAGGATTCAAAAGGACTTCCCATGAAACCCTTCTGGGGAATTATTGGAGAACATACTCCTCCAAAAAGACATCATAAACGGAGAATGGAAACATATAAAATCCAGGAGCAGAGGATTTGGCCCAGGAGAGATGGGAAGAGAAATCCCCAGGATGTGGTTAGGGGAAATCCTAGGATAAAAGCTGTGTGGAAAGGCCAAGAAGACAATTTGGAGCCAGAGGAGGATGGGTCTAAGAAGGAGCATCACCAGGAAAAAGAAAAAGACACTGGTAGATTGCCTGGTTCCTATGACTAGATGAGAAGATATTTTAGAGTGGTGATGGAGAGTTTGCAGGAGAATTAGCTGGAGGCATAAGTAATGAAGCAAATAAAAGATAGGCAATTTTTTACTCCAGGGGGGAAAAGGTAGTCAATAAAGTGAATATAATCTGATATAGTATAACCTCAACTGCAAACATATTTCACAGTTATATTAATATAAATTCTGACCAGTAGTTCCACCAACCAGGGAATTCTGCAGCCTGGACAAGAGTGCACTGAAGGTGGTGGGAGAGAGAATGAGAGAATTCAGAAGGAACCTGGATAGGTGGTACTCAGCCTCAGCATGTACTTACTCCCAGCACCAACCTTCAACTTGCAGATGAAGAATCCTAAACCAGGATCTCCAGTCCTGTGCTTCTCTGGAATCTGATAATTGCGTCCTGGAAAATTCTTTTTTGCCTATTGCCACTCAAAAGTATAATCTCCTTCCCATTCTCCACCCCCTCACCCCCAGTTTATCCTCTTCTTCACCCTTTCCCAAGCCATCTTATCATGCTATCTCCACTTTTATCTACACCACTTTTTCCAGTCTTCCAATTTAGCATTTCCTCTCCTTTCTTCCCTGTATCTGTTTTAGCTGGCTTTCTAAGCCTTCCAAAGGCCCTGCCCTTTAACTAGTTATGATCTAGTCCAGAGCTTATATGAACTTTATCAACTGTACACTGTAACACAAATGTTAACTACCAATATTATGTCAAGATTTCTGAAATGGACTCTGGCTTGGTTACTTTTATTAATAACATTACAATTCATATTTGTATAGAATTTTTAAAATAATATTTATGGTACTGTCTTCTGTTTGCTAAAGTATAAATGTTCACTGAAGAAATTTTGGAAAATACAGAAAGCATAAAGAAGACCAAAATAACCCCTACTCTTTTTTTTTAAATTAAGTTGTGAAATACATTTAATATAGATTGTAGCCAAAAATAACCTCTACTCTTTAATGGAAACTGGATTAGCAATTTTGATGTATTTTCACCTATTCTCTTTTGTATGTGTCTTTTTTGTTTGTTTTTTTTTTTGTGGGTTTTTTTGTACTGGGGATTGAACCCAAGGGTACTTTACCACTAAGCTACATTCCTAGTGCTATTTGTTTTTTTAAATTTTGAGACAGGATCTTGCTAAGTTGCTGAGGCTGGCCTGGAACTTGCCATCCTCCTACCTCAGCTTCCTGAGTTTCTGGAATTACAGGCCTGCACCATCATGCCCAGCTCCATGTGTGTATAATTTCTTTTTAGACTGTAAACAAATAGTACAATTAGACAGTATATGCTTCTTTGTAGCTTTTTTATTTAATACACTAAAAACATCTCATGATAATAACTTTTTATGTCATTTTAATGACTGCATAGAATTCATGTTATCAACCCCTAGTATAAAGATGTAGGTTCTTTCCAGTTTTTTTTCCCTCTTAGAATTGTCTGATTGTTTACTTAGGTTAACTTCTTAGAAGTGAAATTGCTTAGTCAAAGGTTGTACTCATTTTTTTTATTGAAGTATAAGATAATTACCATTTTACCCATTTTTAGTATACAGTACAATAGTACTAACATTTGTGCAATGCATCTCCAGAAGCTTTTCATCTTGCAAAACAAACTCTATCCATTGATCAATAACTTTCCTTTCCCCCTCCCCTCAGCCCCTGGCAACCATCATACTGTTTGAGGTTTTTTAGTGTCTGACTACTTTAGCTACCTATGTAAATGGAATTAAGCCATAACTATCTTTTTGTGCAGTGTGTTTATTAAGGCTTTTGATATCTAGTGCTAAAGTGGCCTCCAAAGATGATGTAACAACTTACACAGATTGGGAATAAATGAGTGTCTACCTGGGCTATGCATTCACTGCTTACCATCTGTCACTTGTTTCATCATTCTTTGACAGAGGAACAAAGGGAGTGGGCCTGAGCATCTTTTCTTTTGGATAAAGGCATTGTCATGTAAATCCTGGCTAAAATACTGCTCAGTGTCCTAGTTATATATATATATATATATATATATATATATATATATATATAATAGTTTACTGCTATACATGTATATATTATAAATATTTATTATAAGGAATAGATGAGTTAATAAAATTCTAAGAACAATGCCTGGAATATAGGAAGCCCAAAAAAGAGGAAGCTATCATCATCATCATCATCATCATCACCACCACCAGCATCATATCATTTAACTTTTTTGGTGAATTCTTGCTAATCTAACAAATAGAAAATGATTCCCAGATAATTATTTAACTTAAAAGTCTTCTATTATCTGTGGACTATGTTTCTCTATGTTTACACTGGCTATTTGTATTTCTGTTAAGATTTCTTCTTTCAGGGCTGGGGTTGGGGCTCAGCGGTAGAGTGCTCGCCTAGCATGTGTGAGGCGCTGGGTTCCATCCTCAGCACCACATAAAAATAAAAAATAAAATAAAGGTATTGTGTCCAACTACAACTAAAAAATTAAAAAAAAAAAAGATTTCCTCTTTCAAAGCACTGTGGCAAACAGGATCTCACTTGATCCTCCTAAATAAACCGTGAATTAGAAATGAAGCAATCACAATCCTAATTTTTTGAATTTAAAAAATGAAGCTTCAAAATACAGTGTTGAGCAATCCCAGGATTCAGATCTCACCCTTCAAAGCCTAGCAACTGTCTCAGAAAATATTCCCTGGAAAAGCTTTTTTAAAAAACTTTTATATTGGTGTATATTAACACACCAGTAAAGAATAGGTTTCATTCTGGTATGTTGGTACATTCATATACTCTTATAACATTATTTGGTCAATTTCACTCCCCATTGACTCTCCTTACCCTACCTTCCTTCCTCCGGGATCTCCTTCTGTACCCTATCGGTCTCCTTTCTACTTTCCTTAACATTCCCGCCCCCACAATACAATTTTTTTTTCTTTTCTTTTATTCCCCCTAGCTTCCATACATGAGAGAAAACATACAATACTTGTCCTTCTGTCTAGCTCATTTCGCTTAACATGATGCTCTTTAGTTTCATCCATTTTCCACTTTTGTTCTTTTTTGCGGCCCTATAAAACTCCAGCATTTATAAACACTGCTTATCTGGGAAAGCTTTTGTTAGTTGTAACCCCGCCCCTGCCCCGGCCCACCCCGCCTAGGCCCCGCCCAGGCCCACCCGACCCCGCCCCCGGCTCCCTCAGGGCCGCCCAGACGAGC